AAAATTTCAAAATTTTTAACTAGACTATTTAGAAAATTTTCGGGTATGCAGTTTTGTAGCCCATTCAATTTTAGTATAATAAAGTGCATTATATATTAATTATATTATATTATTAATGCACTAAAACTGAATGTGCTACAAAACTGCGTACCAGAAAATTTTCTAAATATTCTAATTCAAAATTTTGATGACAATTTTTTGAAGTTTGATTAATTTTGTTGCAATTTGTGCAAGCTTTGCAGCTTTTGTTATTGTGGTTTCTGTTATAGATCGAATTATATTTTAAATGAAAATTATTAAAAATAAACAAATAAACATAATTTGCAAGCAATATCGTTTTGAATTTCGTTGCTAATTAGTTGAACGTATCTGTACATATATCAGATAAAACATAAATAAAAGTTGCAAAGCTTGCACAAAGTTCACAACAACTAATCTGATATATGTAGATCGACCCATATGTAAAATGAAAATTACTAACAATAAATAAATAAAGATAAGTTGCCACAGCATCATTTTGAATTTTACTGCTATTATTTTTAGCGCAACTGTACATATGTACGTTCTTTTCGAACCAATTTTGTTTTATAAATACGCTTACATTTTAAACTTGCAAATATACGTTAAGCTCTTATGGCAAAATTCAGTAAATAACTTAAGTTTGTACTTTCTTTTCTTATAATTATATTAAGGATTCAGTCCAAAGTGTGAATAAGGCGTTATATTAATTATTCAGTTCAGAAATTAATTACTGATTATTTGCTGTTGCTGCATTTTTAAAGTGGCGCTTTTTTTGAACCCTGAAAGCACGGCGCAATTGCTCTTCTGGATTAGTAACACCTGGTAATTGCGAAATGGCATCTAATTAAAGATACAAACGTTAGTTAATTTAAAGTTACAAAATATTATTTTCACATAACCACATGTGTATCTGTAGGCCATTGGACAAATCACTTTCAACGTTTTTTTAACTTCAGCAGTAAATAAATTATTTTTAGTTATATTGCATAACTCAGAAAAACCCGAGTCAAGTTTAGTTTGTGAAACATCCCAAGATACACATGTAGGTAGATATGTGTGCACGTATGTATGTCTGTATACCTAAAAGCGCAGCATAAAATTTTTTAAAAGACTTCAGGCTTTGTTTTCCATGTGTACCGTCTATGTTATATCGTAACGGGTGATTTTTTAAGAGCTTGATACCTTTTTTTTTAAAAAAAACGCATAAAATTTGCAAAATCTCATCGGTTCTTTATTTGAAACGTTAGATTGGTCCATGACATTTACTTTTTGAAGATAATTTCATTTAAATGTTGACCGCGGCTGCGTCTTAGGTGGTCCATTCGGAAAGTCCAATTTTGGGCAACTTTTTCGAGCATTTCGGCCGGAATAGCCCGAATTTCTTCGGAAATGTTGTCTTCCAAAGCTGGAATAGTTGCTGGCTTATTTCTGTAGACTTTAGACTTGACGTAGCCCCACAAAAAATAGTCTAAAGGCGTCAAATCGCATGATCTTGGTGGCCAACTTACCGGTCCATTTCTTGAGATGAATTGTTCTCCGAAGTTTTCCCTCAAAATGGCCATAGAATCGCGAGCTGTGTGGCATGTAGCGCCATCTTGTTGAAACCACATGTCAACCAAGTTCAGTTCTTCCATTTTTGGCAACAAAAAGTTTGTTAGCATCGAACGATAGCGATCGCCATTCACCGTAACGTTGCGTCCAACAGCATCTTTGAAAAAATACGGTCCAATGATTCCACCAGCGTACAAACCACACCAAACGTGCATTTTTCGGGATGCATGGGCAGTTCTTGAACGGCTTCTGGTTGCTCTTCACTCCAAATGCGGCAATTTTGCTTATTTACGAAGCCATTCAACCAGAAATGAGCCTCATCGCTGAACAAAATTTGTCGATAAAAAAGCGGATTTTCTGCCAACTTTTCACACATTCAACACATTTCGAACCGAACACTGATTTTGGTAATAAAATTCAATGATTTGCAAGCGTTGCTCGTTAGTAAGTCTATTCATGATGAAATGTCAAAGCATACTGAGCATCTTTCTCTTTGACACCATGTCTGAAATCCCACGTGATCTGTCAAATACTAATGCATGAAAATCCTAACCTCAAAAAAATCACCCGTTATTATCATCGACTCGGCGAGAATGTTTCTGAAATTTTTATGGGCGGAATACTGAAAAAGTTTTCTCATCATGGAAACCTGTGAAATATAATTAATTTAAAGACTTCCATATCGCCAAGTTAAAATTTAATGGCGTTTTCTTTTCAACCGAAACATTTTGCACAAATACTTAGGAGAGGACAGTAAAAAGGCACCATTTTCTCTAGAAAAGAAAACACCATTAGTAAGATTCAATGCTTACGTAAATGTCTCGGTTGTCCTGAAATATTTTTTCATCTACGGCGGCTAAAGCTTCATCGGTACAAATTGGAAAGAGGTCGCCAATGGGCGCAGCAAGAGATTCCTGGCGAATTAGCTTGCTGATTAAAATTTTATGTTCTGCCAAAACTGTCATAAGAGCTTTGTTTTGTAAAAGGTGGTTTTCTAAAATGAAAAATAATGTAATTTTGTTTTTCTCCACAGGTATGTATGCATATTACTTTCGATTTGCTCCAACTTGTCTAACATAGATAATTTCAAGTTTTCTTCGCGTTCTGAAGAGAAATATAAAGAGTCAATAAATATACAAAATGGTAGATATATAAATATATAAATACTGAAGTAAATAGATATGCAAACAAATAAAAATACCTACGTACACTCCTCGTCATTTGACCTTATTTGACCCTTTTAGTCCTTAGTATTTCCGTTTGTTTATGCAATATTTACTTTTTTTTATAAAAATATAGCATAATGTGGCGAATACTGCGGCAACGCGAAGCGAACAACAAGAAAATGTCCGACGAAAGGCGTAGAATATTCGACAGCAAGAAATGTAAAGTGGAATACAGCGAACAGCGAGAGTATTAAAGAATGTGCGATAGATGGCACAACGTTCTAGAGTTGCCATGAGTTCGAGTGCAAGTATATAAGGCCGCTGCCACAGCGCACCAAAAAGTGCAGTTGTAAAACAGAGATCGATTGTGTTAGCGAGTTTTGCAAAGTATTGTAGTTGTCTTAACAAGTATTGTTAATTGTTGTTATTGCCGAAACAAGTATTTAAAAGTATTTGTTGTACAATAGAGTTAATTGTACTGTACTTTGGTCATATTGAGGGTTTGTTTAAAAATATTCTGCAAATCCGATTTTAAAATTTTATACGAATTTAAAAAATGTCAAGGAATGTCAACAAAGGGGTGCGCTAAACTAATGATCTGCAGTGGTTAACTTGATAATATTAAAAAAAAGTATTCGGTATGCAGGTTAGTACCCCATTCTATTCTGGTATAATAAAGTGCCAGTTTAAAGCGATCGTAAATAGCGTTGATTTTAGAAAATTTTGCTATATTTTTATTTAATTAATTCATTTAAAAATTAATGAATAATAAATAAACAAACGGAAAACTGAAAATACTAAGGAATAAAAGGGTCAAATGACGAGGAGTGTATATATATATATATATATTTTTTTTTTTGAGTATATACATACCTTTAATTTCATTAAATTGTTCTTGAAAATTAACGCATCTGGTGCACTCACTTGTGGGATTGGTAGCTGTAGTAAATATAACATAAATAAAAAAATGTTAATTGGGTTTCAAATGCATTTATTTTTGAAAATACTTACCTTGCGGAAGCAGATCGCTACGAACTTTTAACCTCTTAAACGACATTGCGATTTTATCCTTTTGTATATATTTCTGTTATTAAAAAAACGAATCTGCGAAAAGTGGTGTTAAATACTTGAATACTCAACAACAACCATGTAAGATTGGAAGCATGAGTAAGCGGCCATCGTGTGGCAGACCCAACAACTTAACATCTATATCATTAACGCTGAATATTTGTTCTTCATCTGATGGCTACAAAGGCAGACAAAAAACTTTCAACACAGTCAGGTTTCTTAGCGCCCAAGTAAATTCCTACAGGTAAAATAGGAGTATTTTCCAAATTAACAATCCTAAGCAAAATTGGCCAAATCTGTGTACGCGAACTTCTGTGTAGGGGGGTAAGCCGTCAATATTTACATCCAGAAGGATTGACTCGCGTATATCTCTAGCTCTAGCCAACTGTTCCAACAGTTTTTTGACCCCTATGTGACAGTAATGACCGGGAGGAACTATCTCAATTAAAGCACGTTGCCTGCAGCTTGCAAGAAGGCCCTCAGCGCTTTGAGGCACATCTAAATTTTCACTTTTTAATATTTTTAATAAATCATCGCAACACTTACGCGATGGTCTATTGTTAATGTACCACTCTTTTAATTTTGATCGCAAATTGTTCTCTTTATATATATTTGCACCTACTTCCGCAAGCTCCTCAGCTAATGGTTGCGCATCTATTGCTGACTGCGCACTTGGCTCTTCCACAGATTCTGTTACATTCCCACTACCTTCACCAGCACTTAACGTTTCGATATAAACGTCGGTCTGCCTTTTAATTAATCTTCTGATATTCCGCTTACTCATTTTATTAAAAATATTATTAAGTTTAATCACTTTTCACTTGTTTTCGCTTTCAATTATCTGCACGCTTTACTAGACATGTGCGCAAACAGCTGTTGCTGGAGAAAGCCGATTTTCGATAATTTTGTGCAGCTGCACATTTAATAATATTCAACTCCACTGTAATATCGATACGTTAATAAAATTGCTATAACTTTTCTAATTTCAAATGGATTTGAAAAGGACTTGGGTTTATTTTCTTTGATGTTTATTAAGCTGTAATATAGTAAGGAAACAAAGAGAAAACCTTTGTTCCCTGAGGTGAAGTTAACAGTAGAATCACGATGGGACTTGAAATTGCGATCGATTTCTCCAAAAATGTGCAAATAACTCTTAAGCTTATAATAGGACTGCAAAACATTATGTAACAGTGTAATAAGGAATTAGAAGGGTTTTAATCTTGGCGATCGGAAAAGTGGAACTGAAGGTTTTTGGAAAAAAGTGAAACCGGGAACCGATTTCGATAATTATTTTTTTTATCGGAAAGACAGTATACAGTATAGAAATGAATTTAAGAAGGATTTATTTCTGAACTGTCTTTATGAGAGTTGCCACGTGTTAAAAAACTCATATTAAACTTAATTCATCAGTTAATTGCAATATGTATCACAGTGCCAGGCAAAAGGGATTTAAAAATATTTAAATTTGAAAATTCGAATTCATTCACAAGTTAAATTAAATGTTAAAATATGAGTGCCTGTTTATAAATTTAATTTCAGTCTTGGCGTTTTAATGTATCCACTCCGATTTCATGTATGCGACATTTATGGGAAAGTGCCAATTGAAATACATGTGGTCGGTGAGCAGTGTTACTTCTTTAACAATTCTATGCCTAATAATATAGTTGAATATTTTTTATTGTTTCTCAGTATACACATATATACTGTACAGTATATACTATAAAAAAGCAAATTTTGTTTAGAAGAAAATACGAAATTCTATATTTTTCCCCCAAACGGGGATTAATTTCTTCCCGTTTTTCTTCTTATTCTACTGAGCTAAGGCAGTGTCAAATCGAGCTGTCACAACTGATACCACCTTGTATTAGCTTTGTTTCTTAACAGATAATTATCACAAATTATCACTAATTTCTGCTGGAAAGCGTTTCTTAACCTAAAAAAATAGCAGAAACTAGCAGCTCTCTCTCGTTCTTACGCTCTTCTTTTTTTGGCTCTCCTGCTAATTTCTGCTAGTAAAATTTTTACTAGCAGAAACTAGCAGCTGTCAAAATGGATAAACAAAAATTCGCGCCAAATATTTTCAATAGTCAAATACACCGATCAGCTGATTACTTGCTAGTTTCTGCTAGTTTTGCGTTTCTTTACTTTTTCGTAATTTCGCTCTCTGTGAGCTAAACTCTTTAAATTTTCTCATTCTTCTTCTTCCTGATAATTATCTGCTGGAAAAGAAAAGAAACAAAGCCATTATTGCATCATGATGTGAAAGCGCTATAACATTTAGTCCGTTCTTTTGCTCGCCCGCGGGTGCCCGAAAGTGCCCAATTTGTGTCTCTTTGGTTGGTTCTCGGGCTGTTGAGAACCACTTTGAGA